GGCCTGCCAGCCCTGCTGCTGGCCGTGATAAGGGCCGGGGGCGCGGAGCAAGGAGCATGGAGCACAGAGCATGCAGCACGGAGCACACCGTTGTGGGGCTCCCAGCACCCCATTGCATCCTGCTCTCTCCTTCCTGCCCTAATTCCGCCTTCCCAGATGAGATTCCTGGCCCAAAGAGCCGGATCTGGGGCTGGTATATCCTAGGGTATATCCTAAGGCTCCCCTTGCAGAAAACTATGCCTGCTGGTCTCCCCTGGCCTGCTGGCCCCCTCTGCATGTACCCCCTGCCAGAGAAGTTCCTAGAAATACAGTGGTAGATGGAAACAGAGAAGAAATTCTACATGTGCTGCACAGTCCTGTTTCCTGGCTGCGGTGGAGATGGACAAAAACCTGCCCTCACACTGTGAAGTCTTCAGGGCTTCTTATTCACCAGAGTCCTTGCTGTGCTGCTGTGCAGACGGACACAGATGCCGGGAGTCTTCGGGTGACTGGGGTGGCGTACGGTGTCCATGGGCATTGCAAGACAAGACCCACCTTTCAGCATGCAGCTCAGCCTGACTGGGGTAAGGGGTGTGTGGGGCTCTCCTCCCTACAGCACAAGGAAAGATCCCAAGGTTGAGATGGGTGCTCTGAGGAAAAAGCCTAGACAGGCAGGGACTGCAGGGACTTCCCAAGAGTCAGACTCTGGCCCCTCTCTTGTGTGCCAGTGTCTGGAAATGCCCTTCCTCTTGTGCCTGGAGCCCCACAGCTGGCAGGTGGTGTCACCTAAGGAACACCATCACCCAAAGGTGGAAGCAGGAGACACTGAGCATGGGAGCCTCTTTGCTCTGTGTCCCCACCTGGCATGAGGACACCAGGGGTTTGGGTGCAGGCAGACATGGAGCTCCCGAGCAGAACCCTCCTGATCCCCAATCCCTCCCCACACGCAGTGATAAGAGCAGGACACCAGGGCTAGAGCACAAATGCAAGATTTTATTTCAGATCATTTGGCTGCTTGTTGTAGGAGGGCTGGTGGTGAAGAGAGTCCAGCTTCAACCTCAGTGCTGTCTAACGGTATTTGGCAGTCAGCACAGTACCCACGGCACACAGGAACTTGTCCAGGGAAGCATGGACCTCCGGGGTCAGGGCAGAGGGGTGATGGATGGCCACCACCACCAGGAAGCACTGGCCCAGCAGCTGAAAGGCAAAGGGAGATCATGAGCAAGCAGGTTGAGGGGGCAGCCAGATGGCGCAGAGATAGGACCGGAGGACCCCAAGCTGGTCTGCCCCTTCCCGAGTACTCACTTTGAAGTTCACAGGGTCCACACGGAGCTTTTGGGCATGGAGGTCGCTGAGCTTGGAGAGGGCACCAGAAATGTCATCAATGTGGTTGGCGGCCTCGATCAGGGCATTCACCACCTTCTTGCCGTGCGCCTTGATCTGAGCGGAGCCATGGTGCAGATCGAAGTGGGGGAAGTAGGTCTTGGTCGGAGGGTAGGTGGTGAACATCCTGCAGGGCAGAGAGGATCAGGGCTGGTGGGACAGGGCTGGGGGTGCTGACAGCGAGGAGGCAGAGATAGACAGAAGTAGAATAGGGAATTGGTGTAGATAGGGAGAAGATGGGAGCAGGCAAGACAGCAATGGGGACAAGCAGAGCAGGGACGGGCAGGTGGGCATGGACACTTGCCTCTCCAGGGTCTCTGCGCCATACTGCTCAGCATGGCTGGCGACCTTGCTGAAGATGCCCTTCACGTTGGTCTTGTCACCCGCAGACAGCACCATCGTTGCAGCTCCGCGTTGGCAGCCCCCAGCACGGGTGGCCCCCACGGTCGCCGCCGCCCTTATATGCAGTGCAGGGGCCCCGCCCGCCGCCTGGCCCGGCCCTGACCCCAGCCCCGGCCGTGCTGGAGTCCGGCCAGATGGAGCCGCCACTGGTACCAGCCCCTGGGGAGTGGGTCCAGCGGTAGGACTGGGGCTGGGGTCTGCAGTGTGGGCACAGCAGCAGTGCCCTGCAGGACCTGTGCCGGGGAGGTCCAGATGGTGCCAAGGGCTTGTGATGGGCACAGTGCTGTGTGCATGGGGGCAGCGTGGTCCCTTGCACATGCTGCGCCTGTACGCACTGCCTGCTGCCATGGCACACGGTCCCTGTACACATGCAGTGCCTGTTCATGCTGCCATACAGCACAGTCCCTCTGCTTGTCCTGTCCCTGCGCACACATGCCGCACTTGTGCACAGTCACCCGGCACAGCCACTGTGCACACACAGTCCCTGCACACCCACGCAGCGCCTGTACACACCTCCATAGAGCATGGCCCCAGCTCTTGCCCCTGCACACATTGCCACATCCACCTACACAGGGGTGGGTACCCCCAGCTCCCGGGAATGGGGGCCTTTGGGCCACAGGAGTCGGTGCTGGGCACTGACATAGGTGCTGGCCCGCGGTAGGAGCTCCTGCTTGGGAGGGAAGGTGTGTGAGGCCATGGGGACAGTGTGGAGCCGTGAGTCCACAAGAAAGGTGAGGAGGCAAGGAAGACGAGGAAGGCTGCAGAGCTTCTAGCAGTTTCTAGAGCTAGTCCACGGGGGGGGGGGCAGCTCATGCTGTGTTTCCTCCATGGGGATGACGGTTCTTATCGTTCGTGTTCAGAGGAGATTAGCACAACCTGGCAGCGTCTCAGAGCACAGGAGGAGGGGGGAGCTCATCTTCCAAGAAGCCAATCTGGTAACACGATGCTTCTGCTGCCCATGAAAACATCAGTGAGGCAAACTGCAAAGGTGGCGGAGCCTTTTGAACTTCAAGTGTAAGAATAAATGGGTGTAAATGTGCACAAATGCACTGGGACTTGGATGATGCTGCTGCGCATGAATGAAAAGTGCAGTGGGTTCCTGAAGGTACTTGCAAGGGCAGAGGCCCACGTGGCCCAGGAGCTCTCCAGGCCTGTGATCGCAGGCACCAGCTCCCCGGACACCTGGTACCTGTTGTCTGCACCCTGAAACCCAGCCCACCTTTTGAACTCTCACAAACCTTCACTTCCTCACTCTTTTGTCACAATTTAGAGCAAACTGAAGGCTGGTTCAACCTGTCACTTTCCTGTAATCAAGGCAGTGACTTTTTTAATTCAGGCTCCAGAAACGTCAAACCAGTGTCCCCATGCAGACCCTGCCTGGCTCTGCTCCCACCCCCAGAACCCTGACAAGGGCAGATGCCAGGGCAGATATGATAGGCAATTCCATGGAAATCAAGAGGGATTTGTGGGTCAGGGGCTGGAGTCAAGAAATCATGTAGGTGTTTGATGGTCAGCTGCTTTTTTCTTTCTTTTCTGTATGAATTTGTCTGACTGCTTCAGTGGAGCTCATGCAGGCACTTGGCTCCCACAGTGTCTGAATCAAGTCCTAAGCATTCACTGCAAAAACTGGAGCCAAGGCAGGCTGAGCCTACCCCCATGTAAACAGCTCCAAGAAGACCCTGGGATCACCAAGAACAAAACTCGACTTTGCACATCCTTCTCCCCTCCTGTTCCCCAAAAGGACTTGGACACAATGAAGCGAGAGGCCGGAATCCATGCCGCTGTCGCTGAGGCGCTGCCGCCAGCCTGACGACAGGGCCAGAATGGAGCAGCCTCGGCACAGGACAAAACGCAGGGTCCACTGCCTTGACGGTAGAGCCAAGCAGGTAGGGCCCTGGCGTGCACTGGAGACAGTGCCCACCCAGCACCACCGCAGGGACACCGCAGAGGGCTGCCCCCACCCCATGCCTCACTGCCCCAGCACACACGGACACAGTGGTGTGGCAAAAGGCATCTTTATTGAACTTGTGGGCAAGAGCGGCGGCAGCGCGAGTGGCTCATCTGTACTTCTCAGCCAGCACGGAGGCCACGGCGGACAGGAACTTGTCAAAGGCGGCGTGGACCTCGGCGGTGTAGTCGCTGCCCAGGTGCACAGCCAGCACCACCTGGAAGCACTGCGACAGCAGCTGCAAGACAAACATAGGGCTCAGCACGGCCGTTATGGCCCCCAGCCCAGCCCCTGGGCCGTCCCAGCTGCCCAGCTCACCTTGAAGTTGACAGGGTCCACACGCAGGTTGTAGGCGTGCAGGTTGCTGAGCTCAGACAGGGCCTGGCTGAGGTTGTCAATGCTCTTCACGGCAACACCCAGGGCATTCACCACCTTCTTGCCATGGGCGCGGACCTGCTCGGAGCCATGGTGCAGATCGAAGTGGGGGAAGTATGTCTTGGTCGAGGGGTAGGCCGAGAACATCCTGCCGCAGAGAGGCTGGGCAGTGCTCGCATCCCCTGAGGGGGGGGGCCGGCCCCTTTTGGCCCAGGG